TGTTTAATGCATTCAACATTCACTTGCGTTGTGCAATTAAACTAGAGCGCTGTTCGATTCATTGCTTATAGTCATGTTTGAAATGCACTCAGTATTGATCACATGTTAACAATGGACGATTGAGTTGCGAGCAAATATTAACTGCAATTTATTCCACTGAAAAGTAGTTATAGTTTCATTGAAGTTGTCTCAATTTAGAGAAAGAAATTCTCAAATTCTTCTGGAGATTCTTAAAGACGAGTTTTTTTCTTACTAACTAATTCCATCCCAATTTTGCTTGTACATTAGGTCATTTCAGCGTTTTGTTTCGTTGCACGCTTCTACTATACTATTTTTTTTTGCATTACTTTAGCACGGAGATAAAAGAATATTAATGTAGAGTGTTGAATATTTTTTCTGTTCACCTTTTAGCAGAGTTTCTATTTTTTCAAAAATGTTAGTTGAAGATGAAATTTCTGCAAAATGAATACGACATCTAAAAGAGACGTTCACCCTTTTGATCAAGGCGAACAAAGCAATTTTTGCAGCCAAAAAATGACCGTAAACCTCAGTATGCCGTAGATGCAAGGGGTGCAAGTGGCTAGGAGTAATTTAACCTGATGTTTTCAACAAATCTGATTTCAGCAGTTAATTTTTTCATAAAAATCTGCATTAAGATCCTGCAAATTTTCAGTTCTTGCAAAACATTCAGATCCTCTTCTGTGACTGTGATTTTGTAGTGAAACAAGTTTTTGCTTTTGCAGAAGACATTCACTTACAATTAATCATTAGAGCTACTTCTCCAAAAAATGTTCGTTGAAAGAAATACAAAAAAGAAGAACTGTCCATGAAAATTTTCTATTTTAAGTCAAAAAATTAGCATATCATTCGAAAGGCACTCGAATTCTAGTATTCATATGAATTCACAACCCTTTATCAAATATGTCATTATGAGTTGCTTGTGAGAAATAATTAAGAAATGTTTTTCCCATCATGAAATATTTCACTGTTTCGAAAAGCACAAAATTTTGTAAATGAAACCATATCTACATTATTGTGTTGAGAACAATTCAACACTGAACATGTCGTATTAATGCAGTGGATAAGTGAAGTCTTGGAACACCTTTAATTATTTTCAGCACTTCTACAGGAATGGATTTGCTATATTTCGACCGTAAACGTGGTGTTCCAGCCGGATATCGGAAGCCGGTGAGCATTCCGTCGGGTCGTTTCAGTGCTAAACTAATCGCTGGTGAGGTGATCGTAGAAGATCCGAGAGAAGCGGATGATTTGAATACGATGGGATATTATGGAAATTTCATTGAGCGACGTCAAACCACTGTGACACCGGAATGTTTTGGCCTTAATTCGAGGGTATTTCAAGAAGTGGATAGGCCGACGAAGTCAAGTGGTGAGTGAGTGGTGTCACATATATCAACCTATCTCAAAATTGAGGATTCCGATTCGAATAACTCTTAGAATGGAATCTAACTTTGTTTAAGAGATCTAACTTGGATTAGAATCAGTTCAGTCACCTCTAAAGGCGAAGATCACCATTTTACTATCCGCGAATGGAGCATGTTTAAGGTGACCGCAATCGGCCATCAAGCAGCAAATTGGATTCTGGTAGAAAACGTGTGCGTTTAGCAGCTCTTGAAAAGGTGACTGAGATGCAGGAATCAAAGCTTAAGTCTGCGCTACCAGAAACCATAGAAGAGACTTCAGTAGATTTGACAAGTGCGGATAACATTCCAAAACCGTCGAATAGCTGCTCGATAGCAACACAATCACAGCCAGTCTTAATGGTGGATTCTGAAGCTGGAACTTCGAAACTTGACGTAGATGAAATGAGTGATTTGCCAGAAGATTCACTTGAAGAAACGAGAGCCGTTCGAAAGAATACCTCAGAAACTACGGCTAAATCAGAATTGCGATCGAACTCAACGTTGGAACCTGAATCAAAGAAGCGAAAACTGAGTATTGGAGAATCGGATGCGGTACATAAAGATTCAACCGAAGAAAATGCAAGTGTTAAAGAAAATCTCAAAGAAGAACCATCCACACTTCCGATTTCGGATTCCGACAAGAAACTGGATAGTCAGGAAGTTGAAGGCTTAACAGAGCTGGACATGGAGCGTCTGAAGTGAGTAATCAATTAATTACCTGTTATCCATGTAATGAAAAACAGAAGATGTGAAAACTGAGAATAACTCAAATAAAATTAATAATGCGAATAATGGTAATGTTATCATTAACGATAATAAAAATTCTGCGATAATTTCATGATTTTAATAATGGTTCAAGAAGTTAAAACGAGTTTGCCATAACTCATTCTATAAAAGAATAAGGAATCAGTTACAACAGGAGAGGAACTTTCCATTTGAGTTTATGATTTGATCTCGTATTCTCTTTGCTGTTAGGTGAGGAGCCTCAATGCTTTCTTGTATCTTCTGCTTTAGAAACTCTAGAAAATCGATCCGTATTTGAATTCTTTTGAGAAAAATGGAATCATGGGCCAACATCGTATGCATGGATCAACGTCTCCGACTAAGCATGGAAGAAGCCATGTATCTGGCGTATGATTTGGCCGTATTGGAGGTTTCCCATCAAAATATCCAGCTTTCTATCGATCAACTATGGCAACGGTTCTACAAAATCGCCGGACTAGAATTCGTGAAACGTTATGCCAGCTATCGTTTTTTGCGTGGCCTCGGTTGGGTGGTAAGGTCAGGCCTGACACTCGGTTGTGCATTCGTGTTGTATTGTGATGGACCAGATTATCATCATTCAAGTGGTGCCGTTCAAATTGTTGACAGCAGTCAATCGATGGCCGCCGCCAGCAATGCTCAGTGCTTTGCTGCACTGAATCGATCGCTGTATGGCCAGAGGAAATCTCTTATCCAAGTTCAGGTGGATATTCCCATGGGATTAAGTTTATCCGAACATGCTGGCTGCATTGAACGCATTCGAGTTCAGCACACAACGTTTGCAACTTGTGGCATCAGGAATCTACAAAGTAGGTGATGTGTGAATTGGGAAATGGAGAGTTTGGTTGATTGATCTCTAGCTTCAGAGATTTGATCGAATAACTTCAGGAGTCAGAAGTATTCTTAAGGAATTCAAGGATTTATCACTACGTGATTAAGTTTTTTGTTAAAGTTATGGATGAAATCATTATGTGTTATTGTTATTGTGATTTAATTATTGTAATTATTGGTTCGGTTTATTTATTGTAATCGATCCTAGTGTTATCATTGCTTCTACTACTGGAAATGCCTTGATTGCCATCAGATTCTACCAAATTCAGTACTAATTTCAGTTGTCTTTTGAATGTTTCTATTGCAAAAACTTGAAATCCATTGCATACTGATTCGATTATGAATTTGTCTTCTTCATATTGATTAAAAGGATTAGGTTTTGTTTTGAAATTTGCACTAATGGGAATGCTTCACGAATTGCTACAAGCTTCCATTTCTTGCCCTTAAAAGAGATCCTCATTCCTTGAATTATTTCCCGATATGAGATTAACGGATGAAAAATGATCTTCTTTTCTCACATTTAGGAAGATTCAGGAAAATTTTCACTAAAATTATCCAAGGCAAAGTATCAGCGTTTGACAGTTCCCGTTTACGAAGAACTCATAATCCTAGAGCTGCCTAGCCATCGTATTGACGAAGAATCATATCGCAGAGGGCTTAGAAACTGAAATTCGATTTCCCCGAAACACGCTTGAGTTTCTTTGGTGGAACACTAAATATTAGCAGTTGCTAATCGATTCTAATGAAGTTTACGTTTGCAATTTACCTGATCGATTTCTTTTGATAGTGAGCAAATGATTTTATTGAGACGGATTGATAAAATAAGGAATCACGAAAGCATCCGAACAACAAATTTGATTGGAAAGGAAAAAAAAACATTCGTTTTGATGTTCTGAAAGTTTTCATCGGGTGCTGCTTAAGTTTGAATGTTCTCTGATTGAATTGTACTACTCGTTCATGCTTGAGCAGATTAGAATTGACAATTGTTTACGCATGAAAGGATATAGCATGATGCTTTATGAAGTGGAAACAATCCAGTGGCTTAGTAGTCAAAGCAATTGATCCACTCATTGGGTATCTTTGAATTTATTGCTTTCGACAATCTTACAATCAGCTTATTCGAGGTTGTCATCTTCTGTTTCCTTTCGAGATGATCTCTTTGTTTTTACTTCATGTCTTCACATATTTCTCGTACTTTCCGGTGACAGATGATAATTCCACATTGTTTTATTGTTCATTTTTGAAAAAATGCTTTGTAAATTTCAAATCCATGCCTCTTAAACCTTTTCCAGTTGCTGTGCCCATTCACACGATAAAACAAACGAATCAAAGAGTGGTAACTAACAGTGATATGCGACATGATTCGTCGATTTGAATGACAAAATTTGTCCCATCAATAAAACTGCTTTAAGTATCACCCTCAGTTCCGCAAATAGCACCTCTACTACTTTCCTTTCTCCATATTGCATTATTAATTTTTCCGGAGACTGCACACCCGTTCTGGGATCGAGATCCACAGGTCAAGAGGCGTTTCTTAAGTATAGGTATTGGAACGGCTGGAAGTTTGACTATCATATCATTAAATAAGATTCGTTTATTCGAGCAATTAAGACGCTAACCTATGTAAACAGATATCCATTTAAAATCTATGTCAACAGATATGTTTTAAAAAAAAATCTGAATTGTGTTCGTTCCATTCGTAACGTAATCATTATTGTATAATGATAACGTAAGCAAATAAATTTTTCTGAATTCATTATCGAGTTTTGCCGTTTCTTATGGTCGTATATTGGTTGATATCCACGAGACACATTAATCTCGCTCACCTTAAAACCGGATTGTTTCTTTTTTTGCAAACATATCTATCGTATTTCCGTGCAATTGCAAGTTACTATACGATTGTTCCACACCAAATAATCACCATATCTGCAGTTTACAAAAACTTTTACACTATTTTCTCTAGGACTGTAGATAAGAAAGGTTGTGGACAACCTTTCTTTGTTCGTTTGAAGACGAAATTCGTGTACTTTGAAGCCTGACTGAACGTGGATTTTTTTATGGGGTTGGATGAACCTCCGAATATCCACAACGATCCCATATATGAATCACCGACCTCACCTCTCACCTTCGCTATTTTCAAACTTTATTTTGCACCAGACCCAACTCCATATTATTACCAGTGTCATCGTTTTTATTTGGAATTACTACAAAACAACAATTTGTATTCCTCGATCTTTAAGAATTGTAAATTATATTGAAAGTGCATTCAGAAAAGTTTATCCCTCTCCACTCATCATCCAATATTGTCGATTAATGATGATAAGCATGACGTAAAAGCCGTAAAAATTATTTCCTATTGGTTTTTTGATCATTTCACGTCGGTTATCACGTCAGTTGCTTACTCCTTGTATATTTGCTTCATTCCAGTGCAACAACAGCTTTGTCAACAAGTTTATTTCTTCATCGTGTTATCATATTCACTATCAATTGATGAATTTTTATCACCGTTTTCGTACCATCAATAGCTTGCACGGGAGAACTTAAAGGAGTAGAGAGGATGGCACTAAACGGGTAGATTGGTGCAGCCGTCAGTCAGTGTTTTGAAACATGCTCACTGAATTGGCTAGCTAGCGAGCGATGAACGAACGTTTCCAACATCATAACGCTTTTGCATTTCTTCTTTTTTTTCCTGCTGCTGCACTTGTTAAATTTTGGTCGTCTCAAGCAACGTTGACAATGTGCGCATTTCATTGTGCATAAAAATTTCTTCTTTCGTAATCGTGTGTTCCTTTTTATTGGCCGTTTCCTTTTCACCAAAATCAATTTCCATTTTATGGCTTTTTT